TTCCTCCTCTTCCTCTCCTCTGCTCTCTTCCAAGAGGTGAAGGCTTTGCTCCACCACGTGTTCTCTGCCTCAACGCACTGCCCCCCTCAGGCCCGAAAGCAAGCAGCCCATCTACTTGGATTGAAGAGGCTGAAAGCTGTCAGACAACATGAACCTTTCCTCTTTGTAAGATAAGTGTCTCAAGGCTTTTCAGGAACAAAAAGACAGCTAATATAAAGTGGAAAACACTATCAGGCAGCATAAGAAAGAAAAAGGGCTGAGGAGGACAGGGGTGGGGAAGGAGAGGAGAGCAAGTGGGGAGGAGGGCAGGTGTCCTGGCAGAACGGAGACAACTGGTTAAAGCAAACAGACACATTCCAGCCCTGGACACACCAGCAGGACAGGCTGGCACTGCTTCAGGAAGTACAGTGGCACACGTTGCAAAAGTGTGATCACCCCATAAAGCAGGATACCGAGAGCAGCAGCCCACACACTTCAGAATTAGGAATGTATGCATCACTGAGATGGAGACAAAAAGACTGAAAAAATACTAAATGAAAAAATAATATGTAAGGTGCAGGAGAGAGGCATTAATCAGAAAAGAGAAGTATTTGATACAATAACAATGTAAATTTCTAAACTTTGCTAGAAAATGAGGTTACTTCAAGAGCCACTCTACTAGACAGCATGCAGCCACAAGCACTTGGGAATCTTCATTTTCTTCACAGGAAATGTGAACCTGAGTGTCACATCATTTTCTCAATTGAGATTTAAATTTACAGGTGAGAGACTAGGAAACTGATCCGAATGAAATTGAGCTCATAAAGACTGTCGAATTCTCCCTTCTATTTCCCTTAGAAAAATAAAAAGCAATGCTGTGCAGTGGCTTCTGTCTGCTAAGGATGAAACCGATTGAAAGGATAAGATACAGGGTGGCTGCTAGAAGACCACACTGCTTAGAAAATAACAGAGGTATTTCCAAGATCACAAGTGGCTATGTTACATGAAAGGTGGTTGCATTTAGTAACCCTGGATTTCTATGAACTTAATGATCTGATAATTACTGAAAAAGTTAGAAAAATAACACTCAACAAAGGTTTGGCTTTGGTGCTTCATCTTCTGAAGCACAGCGAGGAGGCAGCTCGCTGGCGATGGGAAAGGAAGGCAGGCACTGAGGATGAGACGCTGAGGAGTTGCCCCACCCCAGGGGCTGAGCACAGCAGAGGTAGCACAGGGCACGCAAGATGCTTTGGACACACCCTGGAGCTCTCTAATGTTCTGCACAAATCTACACAAGGAATTGATTTAGAAAGCAGCAGAGAGGGGCATGGTTATGTTTGATGTTAAAGAGGCTAGACTGGGGCAGATTTACACTTCTGGCAATAGATTACTTTTAAAAAAATTAGCAGTGACTCAGGTTGCGAAAAAAAAAGAAACCTTGGGGTAAATTTAATTGAGGGAATAGATCTGATATATTTCAGTGGGTTCTGAGAGCACATCAAAAAGCTATTTTTAAGAGGCACTGAGAGTGAAACGCTGAGGGGAACAAAAGCAGGTTCCCTCTTAGACCTGAAAGCGGCACTTTCCAGGAATCCAGGGCTAGTCAAATTCACCTCAACTTGGGACAGGCCAGGAGTCGCAAAGCACAGCACAGCTTCAGCCCCAAGTCCTACAAGGTACTTGTTTGTTGTGGTACAAAAATTAGGGAATTTTTCTCATCCTCCTAAGAATGAAAATTTTCTTCTCGAAAACAAAATGTGTATCGCAAGCTATACACACACACACACACACACACACACACACACACAAACAGCATTACATGTGAATCCTAAATCATGATGTAATCTTGCGGAAGACATTTCAAACTGCAAATAAACTCAATACACATAGACTTTCCACCCAAACCACTCAATATAAGAAGCCAGGACCCAGTGTACACGTGCACAAGTGCACACAATGAGAAATGACCGCTGCCGTACCACCACTCCGACTGCAATGTCCACACCAGCCGCAGATGTGTCAGTCTGAAAATGCAGGCACTGTGCTATGACACATAGCACCTGCGGATTTAGGAGGACAGAGCTCATGTGGAAAAGGGCTGCAGTTCTCAGGCACGTGAATCCCTGTGGACACATGTTCCTTCTCCGAGGAGGCTTCATTATCAACAAATGAGCTCTGGAACAGACGTGCAAGGCCTATTTCACTGTTACATTTTTAAAAACGATAGTGAATATATGTAAGATATATAACACGATGCTCTGGGAAATACAGAGATGGCAAAAAGCACAGTAGATCAAATTAACATACTTAATTTCACGTCCTTTTATGTGGCAGAAGCAGCTAAATGTGCTCATTTAGATGAGTCCCAAATATACTTCTCTTAATATTGTTACAAAAATATATTAAAACTCTCCATTAAAACAATTTACTAATATGGCATATTTTTCCAAGTTAAATCATTCAGCACAAAATACTAGAGATAACTAAATCATTCTTAAAGTGGGGGAACAGCATTTTTATTGTTTCTGTAATTTAAAATCTTAAAATTCTTGTAGTTCGTATTCTACTATGTTAGCAAATTATCCATGAAGATGGATATTCATGGAAAAAAAAATCTATCCAGAAAGATCAAGTGGTAAAGTCATGATAAGGTCATTTCCCTAGGAATTCCCAGAGTTACTATGCCCTCAGTTTGAAAGGACTGTGTCACCAACATGCTAAGTACTGGTTTCAGGAACAGGAGGCAAAAAGACAGAGAGAGCAGGTCTCCTCCAGTGGACCCAAGGGGTAATGAACACTCTTCATCACCAAAGGTAAAACTTTAAATACATAAATGAGTGCCCTGGGCATGGGCTTGTAGTATTACAACATACCCTTCATATTATGCCTACCAATGTGCATCAGGTACAATCTTAGCCCTAACTGATACTTTTGTGAGAAGTGGAAATAAATATTCAGCATGAGAGAATCACTATTTAAAAATAAGGTATGGGTTGTTTTCAAAAGATTATAAAAGATGGTGAAAGATTGTTTTGAAGATTATAAATTTATTATTATAGCCTAAAAACAAAGTACATCAATTTTGATATATGATTCTGGTGTGTTTCTCAGTATTCCATTCTTTTCTGGAAAAGAGCTCTGCAGTTCTCTCATGTGTGATAATCGGATGAAACGGACATTCCTTTACAGGTACAAATCCCAATGATGAATGTTACCATATTGTATACCTAAAATGTGCCAATAAACTTGATGAATAAAAAAAGGAAATTGGCATGCTATTTATTAAAAAAGAAATGTTACATTTTCTCAAGAATGAATTGTTATTTGAGACTATTTCATAAAACTTTGAGCAATTAAGAACTATCATTTTTCATATTCTTCCAAATTTTAAGGAAAAAGGTAGTGTGAATAAAGAAGTTGACCAGTAAAGGTAAAAATGTAAGAGTTCAATAAAAAATGAAGATGCTAAAATCACAACTGCCACTAAATAGCTCCACCTGTAACAAAGATCTGACTTTGACCAATTCATCATCTTCTAGCTACCTCATCTGAATACGAAAGTTTTATAAATTCTGTGAGTTCTAAGATTGAGCACTCTATCATTTTAAAATCAATGAACAATAATATTCCAGTGAGTATACGTTACTGAAATAAAAACGGTCACTTCTGTTGGGATATATTCTTACCAATTCTGAAATTAGACTTCCCACAAAGGTTTGACTCTGTAGAAGTGTCCTGTCTCAGCAGTTATCCTTTAAATCAAATATGGACTCTTACAGCTCAGCACACAAGTGCTCCTACTGGAACCTAAGAGCCACAGGGATGGAAGGTGCCTTTTCTTCCATGCCAATTTCATTTGGTCAAAGACCTCAGAGGTGCACTTTACTTACAGCAGATACAGAGTCTGTCAGTGGCCTTCCCAGATCCAGAAAATAGACAAATGTCATTCTGAGAAACAGTATCAAGTGTATGAAAATACATGATTTAAGAAAGAAGTCTTTCTATGCCAGACTATAACTAATGAATCAAGATCCATGACAAGTAAATGTTTTGATATCCCATCAAGATTTTACCATATATCATTATTACACAATTTCCATGTACATCTATGTGAATTTCAAATTTAATAGTCAAAAATAATCATTATAAAGTAAATGAAATACAATTTATTTCAGAAACATATATAGCTACTAAATGTATCATTCTTGCAATAAAAGTAATGTCTAGGTCAACAAAAACAGAACAAAAATTTTGCATGTCATCCAAAAAATCAGATCTGAAAGCTGAATTTTATGCTTTACTGGATTGTAATAGTGTTTTCCCTTTTTGAAATAACTGTAAACAAAACATCCTACTTAATTATATTTGGTAAAGCTCATTATGTTGGAGTACAGTGGTAAACTACAGCAGTCATTTCTACAATCTTTGTTATTAAGGTAATTGCATGGGCCTTGCTTCCAACTCATAAAGTAGCCTATCAGCTTGAATCGCCAAGTTTCTACTCCAGCTTCTTGCATTTATTTGAAGACAAAAGAAACTCTGTTTAGCCACTGAAATGTATTAGTATAATCAATGCAACCACGTCACTGAACGCCATACTTTAGTCAATAATCTAATGCAGAAGTAGTTTAACAAGACAGCAGCGACCGTTATAAACGAATCTTGAGTATAGAAGAGAAGAGATTCTGATCCTAGAGCCTAATAAAGGATAGGTTGTTTTCCCGGATATTCCTTGCTGATTCGCTAATGTTGTATATTTAGTATCTTTAATTCTACTCCCTTTTATAATAAAATATACATTTTATCATAAATCAAAACATAATCAAATGGGTGTGCATAACTGAACGAACTGGTGAATCATTCATATGCTGAATAAATGACTGAAATATCTTATTGTGTTTCCGATATTCACCGAGTTTTCAGTTTTCCTTCCTCTGTGCCTGCATCGCGTTTGCGTGTCTACGTAAGGAACGGTTAGAAGTTATGCAGGCACCAATAAAGCGCCTCCCTTCTATCAGTACCTTCGGGTATTGTCGCACGGGGATCAGGACTCTTTCCGAGAGCTTTATGTTCTTGTTGCTGATGACATCGAGATACTTCTTTTCTTCATCTTCCTTTTTTCCATCAGAACCTTGAAATTTTTCAATTTCTGAAAAAACAAACAGAAAACCCAGGTGAAAAGAGAACAGAAGCGATCATCACGCACGGACAGCTTCCGTGACCCCTTCACCAGTGAGCCAGGAGCGGCACGGGCACAGCCGTGTGCCGCGCGTGCAAAGTCACCTGCATCGGCAGAGCCGGGCAATGATGCTAAAAGCATCACCGCGTGTCCTGAATCAAATGGGGCATCTGACTGACCTATGTTCTCACAAGACTGCAGGAAAACGGCCTTGGACCCTTTAAAATAAGGAAACGTAATTCTGAAACGCAAAATATATCTTAAAGTTGTTTTATTTTTATTCACAATTACTACTAAAAGAAAATTGTAAAAAATAAAAGTAATCATCCACTTACCTAAAATACATGGCAAAGAGAAATTGTATATTTTTATATTCTAGCCAATCTTAAAAGCAGTAGAAGTGGGTCAAGTCATAGAAAATGATGAGTTGATCAGATGTTAGTCATATTCATCAAGAATTTTGAAATTGTCTCAATGTTTGAGACAATCTATTAAGTTTGTACTGTAATGATGCTCCCGGATGGATTTTAAGCTTATGTACGCTATCCGTTCTTTCACTTTTAATTTAGTCTATTAAAATTCTGAATCTCTAAAATGGATAGTAAAGGTACAGCAGAAAACAAGAAAATGTCCCAGCTTTTTAGAATCTGTATTTAATTAGGAAGATGCACAACTTGAAGATGAGTAAATACACGAACAGAAACATTTCCAGGCGGAGTAGTAACAAAGCTATTAATTACATAAAGCGCACAGCGTGGAGGGCGGGGCCGTTACTGACCAAGGCGGGTACAGAGCAAAGCCCTGAAGGACTAGACGTGCAGAGATCCGGTCTAAGGCAGAAGCCTGCGAGCTGCAGAGCAGTGAATGTAGGAAAGGGTGCCGTGGGTCACAGGACAGACAGCCAAGCTTCTGAAGGACGCCTAATATTACTTGCTTTTGTTGTGAATGTTAGCAGAAGCCACGGGGCAGTTCTGAGGGAGGGTGGGAGGTTGCCATGTTTACTTTTTATTTATAAAGAGAGCATCATATGTGAGACTCGCAGTGGGGGGAAGCAAAGAAGACAGCTGCCTTCTAGTCACCTCACCGAGAAAGGATGCTGACTGGACCCTCAGGAAGCCACCAGACTTTGGCAGAACGCACGGTTAGAACTAGAGTCCCCTTTGTGGGTTTCACCATGCAAAATAAGTACACTGGAGTTACAGCAGGGTTCCGCTACTAACTCCCTTATGTGTATTAGCTACTTTTATTACAAACATCACCTGAAATTATTTTCTCTTCCTATTTTGACCAACTGTTCCATTCCAAAAACTCTAAGTAAATAAAGATAGGAAGACTTTCTTACTTTTGTTATTGAAAAAATAAGACACTCTGTTCACTGCTCTGGAGTAAAGATGATTTTTCAGTATGGACATTTTTAGCCCATACTGAATTATGCTGCATTTTGAAATAATTATTTTTAAAGGGTTGACTACTTCCAAATGTAAGAGAGGTACTTTATCTGCTTTATTCTTTGTTGCTCTATTTTTAACTAATATATTTCCAAAAATGATTTCATGCAGCTTATACAGAAATCCCTGTAACACTCCAGATAATAGCTGTAGGAAAGTATTTATCTGACTCATGTGTAATCTTAAACAATGTTTTTGAAATATTATGGTGGCACCTCGGTTCAGTTCACAAACTTAATTTGTTCCACGGTTTTGGAAAAGATGGCCGTGTTTGTGTTTGTGTGGGAAAGGTGGCTATGGTTGTGTCTGTCATCCCATGTAGTGTGCAAACAAAAGCAAAATTTGCTCACACCTTTATTTGCAAACCAAATTGTTCACCACCAGAAGCACTTGTAGCCTAGGTACCTCTGTGCTATGCTGCTCACCGAGATCTCACCTGAAAGAAATTACACACCTCAGTGTATATGCTGTGAAATTACACAACCATGTATATGCTGCAAACTCACCTAAAGACAAGCACCTTTAAATAAATTTAACTTTCCAAAAAAGGCAAAGGTCCACACATTTGTCTTTAGTTCAGCAGCATCAGATTCCTGCTTTCCTACTCCAAAGTAATCAGTCCCTTGTAATTGCAGGCGTCTCAAACCAAGCGTCCACATCCAGGCCTCTTAGTCCATTAAGTAATTACCACTCCAAGCGCTGACGCTGCAGGAAGGTATATCACACCCTGGTACCAGAGAATTTTTGATCACTGCTCCTTGGGAACGCGCACCGGCCTCATGCCTCACTTCCTCGCCTGGTTCAGACCATGGCAGTCTGCGGCGCATGGAGGAAGCTGACTCAATTCCCAGTCTATTAGATGAATGCTTCCTTCTTCACTTTGTCATAAAAAGAAATTGAATTTGTCTGTCATTACTTGCACTCCACAAAACCACTACCTTAGGCTTTTCTAGACATTTACAATTTAATCATTCCATGATTAATCCTAACAATCTTCCCATCCAGAGGTAGAGCTGACTGAAATACTGTTTTTGCTGCTTTTTTTGCTCATTCCCACAGTTTCTTTTTCAAACTTTTGGCATTTCTGTTGCTCTCCGATGCTTTCGTGGTTAGCCCGTCTTTCCTGATATACCTTCATGACCAACAGCTCAGTAACTGCATCTGTCAACTGCAAATGCTATGTTGAAACTTGCCTGCTTGATTTTAAATCCAAGAAGCCTTGTGTGTAGCACCTTTCCTTAACTTTCTGTTTTAAATACATACTTTATTGCACGATCAACGCTTTCCCATTGCAGAACGCTGACAGGAGTCCGCAGGCCGGAAGGCAGAGTCCTATCACGGGGCAGGAAGGAGCCGCACTGTGGGGAGGCCCAGGCCCCTCCCGGGCATACGTGCAGGACCTGTGCAATGCGCCTGCCATGGTAGCAGATTCAGCAGGGTCACTCACTCAATGTGTTCGTTTAAAACACTAAAGACGGTTTCGCGCTTCCTGTTCTTTCACGTTTTCTTAATTCATTCAAGAAGTATTTTGGCAGCCACTGACGGGGTCTGTAGGCTGCTCCTGGGCGCTGTCCACTTCACACCAGCTCACTCCGTCAGGGAGACTACGGCCAGGAGACACGGGAGTCTCTGTCCAGCTTTTTCTCTGCATTACTTCTTCACTTTGTCTAAGGGTGTGGAAGGTGGGTTTTTTTCATTTCTCTTTTTCTTACTTTATTTTGTTTTATAAACTTTTTTCTGTTCCACGTTAGCTTATTTCAATGCTTTCGATATTTTTATTCATAAAGTGTTAACTGTCATGAAATTCCCTTGGAAAATGTCTGTAGATTCTGATTAGTCATATTTTCATGGCAACTTCGTGGCAGAATTTCTGCAACTTGATTTTGTTATTCTCAAAACCTAATTTACAGCTTTTTACTGAGACACTGAAGAGGAAGAGGCAGTCTTTCTATTGTTATTTTGTTTAAAAGCTGTATGGTCAGTATTTCTGTATTTTGGAATTGAAAAGGAGATTTCCTTTTGGATAAATTTCGGACATGAATCACATTTTTCACAAAAACAATGTTTTTGTTCTTTCTGTGGTCGAACTAGACATAACTCAATGAGCTCTTTTTACCTCCTTACAGGATCCATCTTAGAATGAAAGAAGTATGTAAATATATTTTGAATATGTACTCAAAAGTGCAATTTTGTTAATAAATTGTGTACACACTTAAATTGACTAAATTAAGCCACCGTTGCACTTTACAAAGCATAGAGGGTTCATTCACACATGTGCTATTTCCCTGCCAAGAGGTTAGGTTCCGAACTTCACTCCCTGACACAAAACACCTGTAATAATAAAAGGACTGAGAAAACCCAAAGCCTGAAGACAGCCTCATCATGCAAGCAACACGGAATCCACAGGAACCACTGAGTGCATTCTTCATCGCTCTGGAAGTAACAGGAACATTACTGTGCCTCATGGGGGTAAGAAGTTGTGGGAAGATGGAAAGATTGCCAAGGAAAAAATGTCTCATTAATTCTAGAAAACAGACAACTCAAGACAGTATTTATGCTCAAAGGGGAGGCTAATATCTCCAGTTCCAAAAAAGGCCATCTAAAAACCACCCAGGAAATGGCGGAAGACTGCAGAGCCCCTAGCTAGATGCCGTTGTGAAATGCACCGAGCCTTAGTGAGGTGAAGGTGCCAAAGGAGGACGAGCACCCGAAAATCTCAGGAAAACAACAGCTGATTGCTTCTCATATAAGAATGAATACTTTTCCCTGATGGGAAAACATGGCTTCAAGAAAAATCTCAGTTGAGCATGAACTGAGGAAACTATCACAGGTAAAAAGTCTACAGCACAGAAACTTTCTAAAAGCACAGACACAGTTTCTCATTGAAGCATAAATAACAAGCACATTGTGTTGAGCCTTGTATGAGTCTGCTATGTGAAAAGGGGAAAAATTAATAAGTTGACAAATAATGAAAGTAGAAGAGAAATATATGATAACTAGGAGGAAAATACCAAACATTGTACTAGGTATAAAAAAAAAGATAAACTATGTATCAGAAATAAATACTTATCCAAATTAGAGAAAGATTCACAACTCAGTAATACAATAGGAACATTTATGTCAGATACAGAGAATACACTAGAAGAATAAGCAAAAGAACAGGAAGAACAAAACAGAAAAGCAACAATGAAGAATCTTGACAAAATCAGAAAGACATATTTGCGAGAAAAGGACAGATACATAACGTGAGCCAGCGAGTTCCCTGATGGTATCATCAGATGTGCAAGTGATAAGAAGAACTGAAGAAAAAAAGTAAAGAGTGAAAGTCAATAAATTATAATACATAATAAATAATAAATTAAAATAACTGTGATCTTATGACAGGAACTCATGCATGAATGGCTCAATTCTCTGACTTAGTGGAGACAGAAAGAGGAGAGTAAGAGGGATGGGGAGAAAGAAGGATGAAAAGAGAAGGTAGTAAGAAAAGGAGAAAAAGGTGCCAAAGCAGGACTCGGCAGATGAGAAGCAATCCCTACAGAACAGCGAGTTCCAGGCAGTTTAATCGCAAGCTGTGGAACAGAGGTAGCTTTGTATGTCAGCTCCAGATTTACGTGTTGTCTCATTCACTTAGCATGACTAACTCACTTCTCACCTAGAAATCAAGAAAGAACTGTTAGTGGTGTCGTGAAGATTAAATAAAACAATACAGCAAGAGAGAGCGAATGACGCGGAAGGAGCCAGAACAGAGGAATAGGAACGGCAGGAGGACAGGACCCAGGCGCAGTGTGTACAGGTGTGGGAAAAAGTCACAGGGGACCTTGTTACTCCATACAGTGAAATAAAAATAAATACAGCAGCTAAATAAGTGAGAGAATACAAGTAAGGTCAGACTCACGTCTCTGAAAATGTCACTATTACTGCTCTTATCAATAATGTTAATACAATATTGCTCCCAAAAAGAGCAAGTGAAATTTGAACTAGATTCTTGAGGAAAATGACTCTGGAGTGGGAGGGAAGAACTGATCCCTAGGCCAAGAAAGGCTTAGAGAACCCAGACCAGAGACTTCTCAGATGAATTCTAACAACACTATGAGAAGAAAGAACACTTACAAACTCAACTCCTGATACTACATCCTGACACAGTCCCCACAAAAAAACTCAATATGGAATATATATGTATAACAATCCTCAAGAAAATTCTACAAAACTGAATTCAAGAGCATATTAAAATGATCACAGACCATGGTCAGATGGAATCAGAGATGTTGCAGTACACGCACACCCACCAACTTGATGCACTAACAGAAAGGATAATAAAAATAACATAACCCTAATAAATGCAGAAAAAGCACTTGATAAATTTTAGTATCATTCCAGATAAAAATTCTCATCAAATGAAATATAGGGAAAACTTGCTCCATAAACCTGAACAATAAAGGCCATATATGAAAACCTCATTTATACTATCACCCTTGATCTTGTAACTGAAAGCTTTCCCTCCAAGATGCTAAAAAGGGACGGATATCCATTCTCACCACTTCTATTCAAGGGAGTACTGCTATGTCTTAATCAAGAAATTAGACATTAAAGATAAAACAAGTAAAATGTAGAAGCATTTGTAGTTGACCTGATCACAAATGTAAAAATCCCTAAAGCTCTCATAAAATCTATTACAATCAGTGATTTCAGTCAAGTTGTGGAATAAAATACATAAAAAGTATAAAAATACTTAAGGATAAAGACAGAAGTACAAGTCTTGCACATTAAAAACTGTCAAATATTGCCAGGGATTTGGCCCAGTGGTTCTGCTGCCTGCCTTTCAAGCTCAAGGGCCCAAGTTCGATCCCCGGTACTAACAACAACAATACATAAATAAATAAATAAATGTGGATTGTTCGTAATTCAGCTCGTTTAGTGTGCGCAGTTTTTAGTAGCTCGGAAGGTCAACACACCGGCAGACCCACTCCTGGATACACATCCAAAAGAACCGACACAGACGAGTCTGCAGCCCACAGCCTTGCAGTTCTGCCAATCACGGCTAAGTCACGGAAGCGCGGCGAAGGCCCACTGCTCGGGGATGGGTAACGGAAATGCGGCATACGAACACAACGGAATAAGACACAATCTTAGGAAAGAAGAAAACACAACCCTTTCTAATGACACGGAGGACCTAGAAGCTTAAGGCCACGTTAAACCAGCCAGACACAGGACAAACACGTCAGATTCTGCTGCTTGGTCTGAGCGCTTAACTCCTCCCACAATTTGTATGGTGAAACCCTAAACCTAAGGAGACGGTGTTGAGCAGGGGTTTGGGGAAGTGACTCGGTCATGAGGATGCAGTTCCATACATGGATTAGTGCCCTTCATAGGAGCTCATCTGCCCCACTGGCTCTAAGGACACCGTGAGAAGGCATCATGGAACCAGGACTGTGGGCCTCATCAGACACTGTGTCTGCTACTGGGATCCCAAGAAGTACATTCCCGCTTATAAACCACCAGGCCACCGTCGCATGACCACAACCTCGGTGCAACAAGAGGCACTTACGTGAGGAAACCAAAGTAGTCTCACTTAGAGAAAAGCCAATAGAGAACAGTAGTAGACAGGGGATGGGAGGACAGGGATGAGGACTCGGTCAACGAGTGCGAACTTTGCATCAATTGTGCAAAATGAGTGAGTCCTAGAGACAGACAATGTAAGACAGGGCCTAAAGTCGATGACAGTAAAGTGTAGAGTTAAAAATTTGTAGGAGGGAGAATCCTGAACGTTTTTGTTATAAATCATAAATGCGTGAAGACAGTATGGGACATTTCTGGAAGGAGTAGATGCTTTCATGGTACGACGGCTTCACAGGTACTTACTTATTTATAACTTATTGATTGCATACATTAAGTACACACAGCTGTTTGTCAAACATATCTCAATAGAAGGCAAGGGTGTTTGTTTTGTTGTTACTGCTTCTGTTGTTGTTTTCAATGAAATGCTGCAGAGAAAAGTGGATGTTCCCGTACCATGTAATTCTCATGGATCAACAATGAGTCTCTGTTAGATGGAAAATGTCTTCCCGCTTGTTCTATAACTGAGCCTTAGGACAGTCAAGAATTACTGTCAGTTTAAATTCGGTTTTGAAACAATTCAAAAAGCAGAAGTAAAATGCCAATGGAAGAGCCTCTATTTGAAGATGTGAACCTGAGGATGTGCACTGAAGTCGCTTCCTTAACCACTGATTCTTCTGCAGTCACAAATTATTTTTCCTAAACTAGGTGCGCTGGGCTTTTCATAGCAGCCTCCCACACACTTATGCTCAGTATTTGCTCATATTCAGAAGCATTTGCTTATAATTTTTTACTTATGGCCATTAATAGCTATTATATTGATATGTCAGGCTATGTCTGTATCTTGATACTTTATACGTTATTTTATTATGATTGTTTTTGCAACTGGCACATTATAGAGGCTCGTATTTTAAATGTATGTCACATTATTACACATAAATGAAATAATACTTATCTACTCTCACTGATGTTATTCATCAAAAACAGATTTTAAAGTTATACTTTGCCTTTAAAGTAGGGCAGTTTCATATTTTAAGTAAAATTTTGCAAAGTAACTTACATAATTCCCAGGTCTTTCAAAGACAATATATGTACCCAGGTAACTTATGATATATATATCAGTTATCCTATTATTCTGATCAATGCAAGAAAGGATGTATACTTTCATTATTTCACTAAATATTACTGCCCCAAAAATGGCTATGTAAAGGACTAAGAGTAAAAGCCAGGGGATGGTGAAGGAAAATTAGTCTATGTGACATGGTCCACAGGTCATTAGTAGTTAGATTTGGGATGAATCTTTCAGCTAAGAAACCTTAGCCTAACTGCACAGAAAGTCAGTATGGACAGAAGAGGAGTAGAGGGGTCCTAAATAAGTGATTCTAGAGACAAAGCTGAGTATGTGAGCATGTGTATGAGACAAAGAAAAAGGAAAATTTTGTAATATCATCTGATCACATCTTTTTCATTTTATGGTATTTTTGTTGGCTTATTTGTTCTATATTATTTTTTCTCAGCATTTAACCCTGCTGGCACTATATGTCTCATATTTACATTACTTTAAAAAAGAAATTATGAAATCAAGCTTGTAAGGGTAATGTATGAAAAAATATTGTATATGTTCTTTATGTTTGTGAAACTATTCATGCCTAATTTCTTTAGGGAGGGTAAAATCCAAGCTCTTCTAGGTGCTTATAATTCTAATATTAAAACAAGGGAGATGTTAAGATATATGCAAACTAGAGTTTTCTAATTCTAGAGAAACTTTCAAGAATCAAGATGCATTTAATTATCAAAAAGATTTTGAAAGTAATACATTTATATATTGTCATATATTTGTACGCAAACTGAAATTTTAGAACATATTTAAAGGAAGAACATGAAACTGGTCTGGGGAAAAGACAAGTTTTTGTCAATAAAATGCAAATCACAAACACACACACACACACACACACACACACACATACACATATATTACACCCAAGAAAGTAGTCAGTATTCAATATTTTGGAATTTATGCTCAGTTAAAACAAAAAGTCAATAAAAGCTTATAAATGTGTAACTTTTATATAAGAAGGATTCTTATTTAGGAAGGATTCTTAATTATAATGCAGAGGATGCTTAATGGTCCCTGGATTAGAATTCTTCATTATGACTGGAACATGAAGCTGTACTTATTTAACACAACAAGGAAGGGTTTATCCTTCTTATCTTCCCCTCATCTTGTACCCATTCAGTTTTCAAGTAAAAATGTTTTCTGCTCTTTACATTTTTACAGAACCAAACCTTCAATGATCAGGGTTGAGAGGAGGCAAGCTTGCAGCCTGATAGAACAAAATTTCCCATATGAAATTGCAGACATCAGTAAATTCAGTAGAACAGATATCACCGCTTGTATCCAGAGGTCTCCCCACAGCTCATGCAGTGATAGGTGGGACTTTTCAGTGGTGGCCGTATGCACAGTGTGGAGAGTGGGGTTAAGGATGGGATGCTAGGGCTGACTCAAGGGGTGACACTAGGATTAGGCTGCCCCCATCCTGCTGTATGAATGCTACCTTCCCTGAAGGTGGGGAACCTGGATAGGATGCAAGGGACAGAAAGGGGCTGCTGTTGTTACTTGCTGCTTCTTGGCTACTTTGCTGCCTATGGATTTCTGCTTGCTACTTTGCTACTTCTGCTGCCTTCTGCCTGCCATGAACTGTTCCTCCTCTGCGATGCCCCTCTGCCATGACAGCCTGCCTTGGATATAGCCGACTATGAACTAAAACCTCTACAAACTGTGAGCCAAACACATCTTTCCTCCTTTAACTTTGGGTGTCAGGTATTTTGTCTCAGCAACAACAACAAAAAAATAACTAAGACCACAAGCTTCCATCATTTCAAAATCTAAGTCTAGAATGCAAATGCAAATGCACTGTAACTGTTTGCCATAAAATGAAAATCAATCATTAATAAAACAGTATAGGAAAATTATTTACCACAATTTTACTTAATAGATATTGATGTACATTTTCAAATTTCATTTTCAAAGTCTGGATGAACAAATCTGAGTGGTAATATGGCCAGAATAGTCTTGTTCTTGTCTTCACTTTTTGCATCACAACTCTGTGGGGTCCATAACACCCCATTTTTTAAATAAAGCAACAGTTCAGGGGGCTGATTAAATATATATTTTCAATAAATGAGGGGAAAACAATAGAAGGAAAAGGATTTTAAAAATTAATGAGTCAAAAAAATAATAGGAGTAGGAGCCAACTTTTCTTTAAAAAAAATTTAGGCGATAAGGGAAAGGAAAAAAAAATAGGAGAAAATGAAAAAATGGAAATAAAATGTTTGTAAATGGGGAGGGGAGGAGGGGGTGAAGGGAGGGCAGGGACAAGGGGAAAAAATGAGAACCAAGACCTGTCATGTAAGGGTACAAGATCCCAATGATGAATGTAACTGTACTGTATACCTAAATTGTACTAATAAACTCAATGAGGAAAAAAGAAAGAAAGACAGACTTAGAAATTTGTCCTTATATAAACTACTTTGCAGGAGAGGGGTAATGAAAGTTTATGCTTTGCTTTGATTACTTCTAGGAAGCTCAGCTCTAAACCTGTCTTCAGTAGGTCAGACAGAGATTTCTTACATTGTTCTTTTTCTTTTCACTATCTTTGCAACCTTTTCCTTGGTTGACTCATGCAGAATATTTTACCCTTATTTTATGCACGCCTTTATTATAAGATGCCTCAAACTTAGAAATAGGCAATCAAATGTCACTTTGTTTAAATTTGTGTATTATTCTGCATTAATAGTAATTAGTCCAACAATTTTCACCACTGCAAAGTATCTTTAAATTATGCTTTTTGCTTTACAGTTACAGCTAGGTGTTAAAAGTAGCTTGTCACTTTCCAGAGGTTTGATCTCAAGCAAGTTAATTAGCCTCAGTTTTCTTAGTTTTTAAAAGTAAAGCAACCCAATAGTCCCCTTATGAAGACTCACGTTCTGAACACAGCTGTCTGGCAATAATTTCAACAATATTATTATGATGCTTCATGAGCTCCTGTCTTTTCTTATCAGAGTGCGAAGTTTATTTCATTCATCTCTAGTGTCTCTGTCCGTAAACTAGCAACTAAAAGGGAGGATTCTGTGGGTACTAAGGCCTACACGTCTGTCTTCCATCACGTAAAAATGAAATGGACACTTTCTGACAGGACGAGGCTCAATGGTGAGACAGCAGTGACTCGTGGGAATGGCCATGGCAGCAGCAAAGTGAACACACAACCTCTCAGACCCAAGGTTGGCAGCTGGGAGCCTCTGAAGGCTCCAGAGATTTCAGTGATGCGAACAGCCTTGCAGGACACCAGCTTGGTCCCCAGCACTGGTCTAGTGGACCCTCCACTACCTCGCAAAGTACAGAAGGGATGGAAAGTGGTTCCAAACACCGAACAGTGTCTTCCTTTGTAATGGGTGGAATGAAAATCTGTGAGACACATTAATAAGTCAGTGCTAAATAATTGCAAACAGTGCAAAAATTACACAAGTAATTTTTATTTGATGATTGAAATAGAAATGATTTTAAAATGATACAAGCATGTTTTCACCAAGTTAATGTTACATGAGGAATTATTTTAATTACCACTAATTCATTTTGATGCCTCGGACCTACTAAAACTGTAAAATTTTCTGACACCGTTTCTGTCCACATTTCCTGCTCACCTGTCCAAATTTCAACCACTTTCTGGGTCAGCTCACAATTCCACTTCCCCATGGAGCCGTACAATGCAACCACAGAAATTTCACCCCTTATGAGTTCTTGTCACTCTATTCCTAGATTACATGTCCAGCTACTTTTCTCCCAGCCATGAGGCCATATTTTATCTCTGTGGCTGTGGACACCTCGCTCAGCTTTCTGGGCTTCTGCTGCTCCCTTTCTATTTAAGTGTGAATGGCGCTCATCAGGGGTGCCCGGCACACTCTTAGGAACACAGACGTAGAGCTGCAGCTCCATCCTGCGTCACTTGGCAGCCGCAGTGGTGACGGCCCCTCCTTTCTGAGCACTCCCTGCAAGCCTCGCGGAGCTCCTCTTTCCCACCTGTGGGCGAGCTCGCTCCGTCGGTTTACTGAAGCTTTCTGTGTCACACTGCTTACTTTTAAAATGAGGGTAATTATCCTCATAAAATTGTTACAAGGGTTACAAGGTACTTAGAACAGTGCCTGATATAGGAACATGGGAAACATTAGTCACCATCGTTTTATTCACTTCTTTCTGGGAGGAGAAACAAAGGTCCACTGACATCTTTCACACTGTTAAAACTAAACTCACGACGGCCACTGTCACTGTCTTTCTCTACCAGTTATACCTCACGCAAGAAAGGAGCTCAAGTTTGTTTGGTCAACAATTTCAATTCGTGCTACACACAAATTCTTAAGTTTTTAAGTATAAATTTCAATTAAGAAAATGAATATTTAATGTCACCCTCCATACATCCACATGCGGTCTTCCACGTCAGGTCACTTTCCCTGAATACCTTTAATGTTTTGCTTTTAGTTCTTGCTAAGTTCAACACATAAAGTTCTTTAACACAACCCAGGATACATATTTCTGCTTTCTGGACAACTGTAATCACGGCAGATAAGGGGACTGGCAGAAAGGCGGGACCCGGCGCTCTACTTTGTCGCCTGCGTTGCCACAGTGATCGTTCGGACACAGGCACACGGTGGGCTGGAGGAGCCCAAGACAGGTCCACATGTCCTGGGTCTCCTCAATTGTGCACGCTGGGGTCTAGGCGCATTGCATCGACCAATTCCCACAGAGCTCCCTGGGAAACACAAAGTGAGCACCTACCCTTATGAAGGGGCCCAGAGGTGGAGGTGCCCTCCCCGGGTGTGGGGCCCGCTGGACATCCCAGCTCGGGTCCTCACCGCCCCTGAGTTCTGCTGTCCCTCAGCAGCACCAGAGTCCACGCTCAGAACCAGACACCACAATGAAGCAGCAGACCCAGCCTTGTCCTTGTGGAGTGCGGATGATACAGGACACTTCACAGATGAGTAGCTCTCTCCTGACTCTTAGCACTGGGGCACTGTCGCTACAGCCACGGTGGGAGGCAGATGGATCACCTCTCTGATCTCCTATGTGTGCTTTGTGTTGTTTCCCGAGAGTGTTTTTTGTTTGTGCTAACACTTAACAACGAGAGCTGTGCTCTACACACACTAGAGGGTGCTGCATAGAAACTGTACACATTACACGACACAGAAGAGCTCTAGAAGGCACACATCTCAGGTGACACATTTGCACATACACAGCATCGATAACCCCTTGTCTCCCTCTTCCCAACTCCTGGCAATGCAATTCCTTCCATTCACTGCTTCCATAAGTCCGGCGACTTGGGTACCTCACAGAAGTGGGACTGGGCGCTGGATGTCCTTCTGCAGTTATTTTATTTCACATTGCCTAACACCGTCCAGGTCACCCATGTGGTTACCACTGTGTACAAGTTTTGTGGAGAAAAGAAAAGCAGGGTGGCATCAAAGGAAACTGTGGAGGAGCAGGATGCTTCGAAAGGGCTGAGTGACAGGCTCTCTGAGGAGGCCTCCTTGATGGAAACCTGCACTCGATCCAGGGACAGCTAGGATGGGGCAGTTTCCCAGATGAAAGGAAGACACCTCGCAAAGCATCAGAACCCGGCAAAGGACACAGCGTATTTAAGTGGCTGCCAGAGTCGGTGTGGGTAGGTCAGCGGGAATACAGGAGAAAATGGGGAAAGACAGAGTGAGAGAAGACTGGGCGATTCCACATAAGGCCTTCCCACCAGTGAGTGGACACGGTAATCTGCTTCTGAGAAGCAAAGCCTGGCAGAATGAGGGCAGTGTGGCTTCTCAACCAGAGCACAGAGGGAACCTCAGTGGTTGGTGTCCTCCACACTCCCTCTGTGACCCCAAGTCTGGAGAAGCGAGAGACCAGGTCCTGGAACTTGAGCCGGCCCGTGGGAGGAACTGAGGATTCTGCTCACAGGACAGGGTGCAGCCGACTAAAATATCCAGGTAATTGCAACTTCCTCCGAGATCCTAAGCCCAAACCAGGAATCGAAGCTTCTAAATTCCACACCTACAGAGACTAAGTAACAATACTTGCCATTTTAAGTTGTTACATCTTGAGTTTATTATACAGCAACAGGACTGGGGATTTAGCTCAGTAGTTCGGTGGCCTGCCTTGTAAGTGCAAGGACCTGAGTTCAATCCCTGGCACACACACACACAAAAAAATTATACAGCAACAGAGAGTAGTTAATGAATCATGCTAGAAAATTTTGGCCTTTTTTCAAAGTACAATAACATTTGGAAGGGTTTTTTTTAATCTGTTTGGATCTTTTTCATGTTTTCAATCAGGAAGCCCAGGGGGAGGCAGGCAGGCCCGTTGTAAGACAGTCGCACCAAACCAGGTAAGAAAGGGCGAGGAGCTCTAAAGACGGGTTGGTTATTTGGAAGATGGAAGCTTGCAGTATGTACAGGAAAAGTATCAGGAAAAGGGAGCAAGTGCAAATGACTCGGGTTCTCAGCTTGAGTAAACAGGTGCATAATAGTGACATTTATAGACATGAAAAATAGAAAGGCAGGCTTAGTGGGGAAAATTATGCTCTGCTTCTGCTGTGTTTTAGGTGGTGCCTAGGTGAAGATATAGGATGAGAAGCTGGATGTATAATTCTCAAGCCCGGGGAAAGGCCAGAGTTTGGTATAAAATTGTGAAGTCATCGACATCTGACTGATGCTCAAGTTCATAGCAACAGCTTGGGATAAGGAAGGACGCCTGCAAGAACTGAGCCCACGATACTCTCACGTGGAGAATTCAGGAAGAGACTGGGACCAGGTGGAAGCAGATGAAGTGATAGAGGAAACCAGTGAAGGAGGCATAAACTAGGAAAGACCACATCAAAAAATTCCAGAGCAGGAAAGACCTTAAGAAAGAGAAAGAGGTACGCTGGCTCATTTGAAGAAATAAGCTACTCAGTGGAGCGGATGTGCAGACAGATCTGGAGGGAGGACGTGCATAGAGTAGAAACTTCCCTCTACCTCGGGAGGGCCATGCTGAGTCCTTGCCTTCCTGAGGACTACTCCAAATCCGGGAACGATCTCATATCAAACCTCCTGATGACATTCACCCCTTTCCCGTGCTTGGAACTGAGTCCCTTTGTGGAGGTGGCATAAGGAAAGCACACTTTCAGATTATGTGGCCCATCCCCACAAGACACTCCACCAGCTTTCATCTTTGTACACACCAAGGCCCAATCACTCTCAGGGGTTTCATAACTGTTTCAATTTTTCACTGTACATTTCCTATAAAATTTTGTCAAGACATAGGAAACTCCGAACAATTCAAATTAAATTCCTTTTATTTTACAAGGACCACAACCACCACAAATCTTAGCCACTGATCCACTCCTTGCTCTCTGGCATGCACAGGCTGTGTACAGAAGTCACACAGGCCCTGGTGCGTGAGCATGGGGCTCCCAGCTTCACCACTGCAGGCTCTGCTATGGCCTGGTTTACTGGCCACCATTCCACCTGCAGTGGGAGATGCGCAACCAGTGCTGTTGTAGCTGTGTCTAGATGTCCTCAAAGCCTTGTGTGGTCACAGGTGGGGCTTTTGGAAATGGTTGGGTCTAGGGTGTGCGATGCTGGGATTCATTTGCAATGCTAGGATTAAGGCTGGCCCCTCTCCATATGGGTGCTGGTCGCTCTCAGGACAGGTAGCCTGGGTCAGACATACGGGACAGAAAGAGGGTTAGTGTTCTTTGCTTGTTGCTTGCTGCCTTCTGCCTGCCATTTCTCCTCTGCAATGGTGCACTCTGCTTTGGACTCAGCTGGCTACAGACTGAAACCTCTATAAACTGTGGGCTAAACCTTTTCCCCTCTATCTTTGGGTATTGGGTACTTTGTCTCAGCAACGAGAAAAGTACTTAAAACAGTCATGTATCTTCTATACCTAAGCTGTCTTTTAAAAACACATATTTACCATTACACATTTTCCTGTTTCTCTTGGGAAATGGATTTCTACTCTTTATTCTGTGGTTGTACTAAGCATTCAAACCTTTTCTGAATGAAAAAGTAGCAGAATCATGACACCGATCTACTCCTCGTTGCCAAAGATTAAATTCTTCATTTTTCTGCCACCACTAAAAATTGATCAGCTGTTCCACGCATGTCTCCTTCCACATTCCCACCCTGCTTTTTGCCATCCTGAACTAGCTACCCTGTGCTCTATGCTCGCAAGACATTGAGCAAACCAAGTACTTTCAAAGTCTCTGGGTATCCACAGACAACCTCCCCTCCTTCCTCCGGCCAATGAGGATGGCTCTTTCTTTAAGCAGGCTCTTCTTGGATCCTTAGAGACATGGTTATTCACCTCAGGTCACTTTTATCACGTGCAGAGTACAGTTTACGAGTTTTCTTCCTTGACTTTGTGAAGTCAAACATTTTCTTGAAGTCGCATGACTTGTGTGAAGTCCTACTGTTGACTTCCCTGAAGCTACAGAGAACATCAGATTTGTTTTTCAGTCTCAGTACTCATTACAAAGTGGACGACTTGAAGTAGAACCTCAAAGTCAAACCTACCAAATGTGTCTTACTAAGTTTTACTAGAATAATGTCTAATTTGTGATACAAAAACTTCATAAAGTATATGTGCCTCTTTCCACAGAGATATTTCACATTTGTTTCCATAAAACAGTACTGCATTAAATATATATGTATTTGCAGAAAAACCAAGACATT